GTAGAGAGAATAGTGCAACAATGAATGAGTGGAAGCCCAAAATCTCTGTAAATGTTTATGAAAATTAATAAAATATAATTATAATTAAAAAAAAATAAACACTAAAAACAAAATAAGTAAGTTGCATGAAGGTTTTTGGGAAGATATGTGTGTTTGGTTGTAGATAAGAGAGAACTGAAAGGTTAAAACTGCATCTTAGTCAAGGTTTACTTGCATCAACAGAAGAAAGAGAAGGTGTTGTTCAGTAAAGAATATAGGATTCTTCCTTCTTAGCTCTATAGAATCATGTGGACTAGTTCCAGTGTCAGCTGATATTAATTGAAAAGTGACCATAATGTTATGAATACATGTTGTTATTTGTTGTTATGTGGCACTGAATCAGCTGATGCATTGCTGACCCTCCAAAGGCTTTTCAAGGTCTGTAAATTCAGTTTTCTTCTCTGGAATAACTCGTGGGTTCAAATTGTATGCTTTCAGCTTGGCAGTGGCACCTTACCACGAGACCACCAGAGCTCCCTATGAGTCCATGTTATTGTTGTTGTGTGCCATAGAATCGGAACTGCTGTATGGGTTGGATTTTATTCTTTTCTCCTCAACAGGACAATATTTAGGTATAACATTGATTGTTTTCCTTTGTGTGAGACATTAGTGGGCTAATAATAAAATCCTTGTCTCTAATGTGGAAGACCTAAATTCCATTCCCAGTTAATGTACCTCATCTGCAACCACTGCCTGCCCATTATTTGATTTACTTATTGGTGTGATATTGAACAGGTTTCACTGGAGCTCTCAGACTAGGATGGACTAGCATAAAAGCATTAATAACCTTCTGAAAATTAGTCAGTGAAAACTCTGACTCACAATGGAATGTTCTCCAGTCTACAATCAAGCTAGAGGATAGTACAGAATAGCCCAGGCTTTTGTTCCATTGTATAAGAGATTCTCAAGAATCAAGCATTGATTCACAGAGCAAGCAATAGCACAAGTGCAGGCAGTTTTGTCCACGGGGAATTGCACTGCTAACACAAAGCCCAATCCTCTCTGTTGGCTCAAATTCTCCAAATACTCTGTGGGATAAGTATGTGAGATCTCCTCTCATGTGATTTATAGCCTCAGAAACCAAGTGGAGGGTCAGCCCCAACTCAGTGATAATGAATGGGAATAATAATAACAGCAAAACAATAATACTCACTTTTGTAAGATTATAAATCCTATGGATTGAATGATTTTATAATTGGAAACATTCTATTTTTACATGTCTTCATGTTTCTCTCTCTCTCTCTCTCTTTTTTTTTTTTTCTTTTGCAGTAAGAAGCCAGGGATCCTGTAATTCAGTACCTGTTCTTGGAATCAGGTCTGCTGGACATGGGGACATTTCTTTAAATATTCAAATAAGTCTGAAATAAAAAGAAAGGTTGCCCTTCTATGATTTTTTAAAATTTTTTAAATTTTATTTCATTAATTTTTGTGTGTACCGTCAAATCAGATCTGACTGATACAGGAGGAGATTATTCCTCCTTCTCCAGCAGAGCATCTGGTGGATTTGAACCTTGTACCTCTGAGATTGCAGTGCAGCTTCTTGCCACTAGGTCACCAGAGCTCGCCACTTCTATGATTCTTACTAGACGGAAAGCCAAGGAGTAGAGTAAGAAGTGGGTATTGGAGTCAATCTCTAGACTTGATCAGAATGTTGTTCAGAGTGTGTACCATCTATCTCATTGAGCAGATCAGGGACTCAATATGTATGAGAGAATTAATAAATAATACAAGACAATATAGAAATAAACACTAAAATGTTATATCTGCACAAAGTTATGTGCTTATGTGAAATAATAGCTCACTCACTAACTCACTTCTTCAAGTAGATTGTGACTCATAGAGACTTTCCATTGAGAGTTTCCAAGGCTGTTAATTGCTCAGGAGGTGATTGCCCATTACTCTCTTGTAGAACTACTGGTAACACAGCTTGCACTGTTTGAGACATACAGTTTGGGGTTGTAGCACAATTCCCTATGGACTATGCCATCAGAGCTCCCCAGTGGTAAGAGATTTGGAATGAAATCCTTCATTAGGCTAGTTTGGGGCTTAGAAGGAAGAGTCTCAGCCAAATAAATCTAAACTTGTAAGTAAGTATAGGCCTGTTGGGATTCAAATCCATGGGGGGAAATCCTTCAGTATAAACTGTTTGCAAAAAGACTGAAAAATTGAGCAGGTATAAAGCTAAAAGACATGGATTTAGTGCTACAGGGGAACTTATGTACATGAGAAATGAATAGCACTGTATCAAGAAGCTGCCATCTGGATTCATTCTTGGGTCCTCAGTGACACCCAGTAAGAAAGGTGGTTATAAAGAATGAGAGAATATCCTCTCAGGCTCACAGTAACTGGTTAATAATGGAACTATTATGACAATTATGACACTAATGACAATAAGAGGAAGGGAAGTGAAGCCACTCTATACCGTAACCCCTATTCCAAGCTGCTAGCTAACATCAGAGATACAAGGAAGAATGCGTATTATGGTAGCCAGTGGAAGACAGAATTATCTTAATTCAAATGAGCTTTAACTTAATTTGGCTCAGAATTAACCATTTGGCGGGGGGGTGGCATTTGTAATATCCTGTGTAAGGCCATTATCAATTCCTAAACCATCATAAAAAGATTGTGATCTTTCAAAGATCCTTAATAGTCACCCCATTGCATTCCTCCTCCTCCCTCTCCCCCTCTCTTTCTCTAATCTTCTAGATGTTTTTGCTTTATTATACATTCTTTCTATGTTATAGTCAGCTCAGAGGATATGAAAGGGGCAGGTAAGCAAGCAACCTTGATGAGAATGCAAATTTTAAGGCAAAATCAAGCAGTTAAAGGAAATCTCTGTAGCTCTCTCACAAAAGACTAAGAAAACAAGACAGTTGAAAGAGTTTAAGAGTAAGAAAAATGAGAGACATTAGTACTGTTGAGATAAAAACAGGAAAGAAAAAAAACATTTGAACAATTCTCATGGAAAATGAAAGTGTGTCCAGTAATTCTGACAGGTTCAGGGTTATATTTGGGTGAGCATAAGAGAGCAATACTGAGAGATCAGAAATTGACAGAGGAAAATGTGGGGACAATGGAGGCAGAAAAAAATGAAAGTCCTCAGGAGTTAAAAGAGAAGAGCCATGCTACGGAAAACAGGTTTTTATTTCTTTTTTTTCCTAAAGGAAGTGACAAGAGGTTAGGATGAGGAAACAATTTTGCTGTGTTCTGGGAACTTCCCAGCAATGAAAATAAGTTACGAGATGCAGTTTCCCAATCAGTAATTACTTACCCCTCCTTGTGTATAAAGGAAGTGCCCCTTAGTTTCACTTTCAGACTGTGTCTTTTTGGAAGAAAGCAGCAGTTAGAGTCTTACTTATGGCTGGTAAGTTGGAGTCTTTTTCTATGGGCTAGTAAATAGGGGGTTCTTTTCTAATTATGGATAAATATGATTGGTAAATCGGAGGGGATGCTTTTCTAATTATGGGCCAGGGTCTTAGAGAATGTTTTATTCACTGTTTTGTGCCAGAGGAAAATCATGACAAGAGATAAATGAACAAAGAGCATGTCTTATAAATTCTTTCTCTTATTAACTCTGAAGTAATTTGACCCTAAGATGCCATAGTTGCTGAACATTTGGTTGCTAAAGAAAGGTCTGTTGTTTGAATACATCACTGGCTAGGTGGAAGAAGGATGTGGCAGTCTGTTTCTTTAGAAGATGTGTAGCAAGCAGGTTTTCCATGGCCTACAGGGTCTCTGAATTGAAATTGATAGCAATGATTTTGGTTTTTTGTTTGACTATCTTTAAGCTCAACATCAAGAAAACAAAGTTTCTTACCACTGGGCGGATTGGCAGTATCATGATAGATGGTGAAGAGATTGGGATTGTTAATAATTTTCTTTTATTTGGCTCCACAAACAACACTCATGGTACCAGCAGCCAGGAAATTAAATGACAAATTGCATTTGGAAAGTCAGCTGTCAGAGAACTCTCCAAAGTTCTGTAAAGCAACAACGTCAGTCTGGAGACTAAGGTGCACCTAATCCAGGCCATGGTCTTTGCAATTACCTGCTATGCGTCAGGAAGCTGGGCAATGACTAGGGATGATAGAAAGCCTTTGAGCTTTGGTGCTAAAGAAGAACATTGAATATACCGTGGGCTTCCAGAAGAGCAAAGAAGTTCACCCTAGACACGGTAAAACCATGCTGCTCCTTGGAGACAAGGATTCTGAGGCTTCATCTGACATATTTTGGGCATGTCACAAGGAGGGACCAGTCCCTGGAGAGGGTGTCATTCTGGAAAGGATGGAGGGACAGCACAGGAGAAGAAGACCCTCGATGTGATGAATGGATTCAGTGACTGGGATAATGAGGGTAGGTGTGTCAGAAACAATAAGGTTGGCACAGGATAAAACAGAGTTCAAGAATGTTATACATAGGGTCACTATGAGTCTCAAACTACTTGATGGCACATAACAACAACAACAGCAGTTTTAATCAACCTGAAAATCTTCAGTGAGAGAAAAGAGACACAGTGACCATCACAATGGGCTTGAGCATGATAGATATAGTGAGGATGGTGCAGGGGAAAACATGGTTCAGATTTGTTCTTCATAGAGTCTCTATAGGTCATAGTTGATTCAATGGCACCTAATAGCAACAGTATGAATCTCTGAGCCTTGCCTTTGAGCCAGTGGAGGGGGTGGACCTCAGTTGTCTTGAATCCGGAAGAAGCCAGTTCTTTTCTTTCAATTTCCTGTAAACCAAGAATGTAAGTGTTAAGTACAGTAAGTCAGTATAGTGTGATGCATCCCAGGGAATTTCCAAACACGACCTTTGACTTTTTGGCTTCTTTTTGACCTCACATTAGTCATGTTGGTCATAAACTCATTCCTAGTATTAGAGCTGAGAACATTGGTATTTCCATACCTATTCCATTTCTTTTATTGAATTATACTTTGAAAGTGTCTCTAAAGTGACTTGTTAAAATGTTTACTCCCCTCTTTCTAATTCTTATGCTTAGGAGTCAAGTTCAATTAAGTCGTGAATTGTTATTATATTAAAATTTTTGCAACTAGTCTCTTTATCTTCAGGGTTCAACCCTTACAGTTTTATCCACCACACTACTTTTAAATTTAGGTTCTTACAGAAGTGTGAGAGAGAGAAGCGTAAGCTATTTATGCAGTTGGTATTGAATCATGCCATCACTTACTTGGGTTTGCTGTGTGTTTTGTTTTTTTTTTTCCTTTTTCTTAATTTGAAGAAGATGGGATTGATCAATGGCTTCTAAATATTTTAGCATATCTAAGTAGCCTGTGGTCATTTTTGTTTATATTCAGATAACTGCTTTCTCTCTACCATAAATTGTTTGCTCTTAACTTGGCGGTTGACTGTGGGACTTTATATAATCTTAAAGTTGTGTAGACAATTCTCATGTAAGTTGACTTTATAAATTTGTTTGAAGACTGATATCCTTAGGGAAAATGATTATTTAGGGACTTCTATTTCTCAATTTCCACTTCTCTATTAATGTAATTTTCACATTTAGAAGCCCACATTGTGCCCCTATTGGCTTTTTTTCTTAATTTTATTTTATTAAATTTAATGAACATTTACAGAATTTTTTTTCTTTTCATTAATTCACTGTTGCACTTTTTCTCTAAACCCGCCCTCCCCTTCACACCTCTCTTTTAAAAGCAAAAGATAAACTTCTTCCTTGCTATACAATTCCTCCACACCCCCTCACCCCTCACCCCGGCTCTGAATGCACTCCCCTATGCAAACTTAATTCTGGCTTTTTTAAAAGTAAAAATTTACATTTTTCATTTAAACTTTTCAAATTTTGAAGATGTAGTTATCATTTCCCACAAATCCCTTGAAAGTCTAATTTAAATTTCTTATGGAAATTTTGTTTTTAATTCATTTTTAATTTTATATTTTACTCCATTTATAATTATTTGCCATTGTGTTGCTTTCTTAATTTCTGAAGTATAATTCTTTCATGGGGTTGCCTCATAGCCAGGCATTTAAATTAAGTTTCTAGGATATAGGAATTGATCTTATCTACTGTCATTTTCATTGTACAAATAAATAAGGTATTTGACCAGGAAATACTCAGTACCCATTGCTATTAGAAGCTAGCCTTCCTCAAGTTTACAGAGACTGTAGTTGCACTGAAGGTGATTGTACATTTTTCTCCACCCATCACAAGGAGTGTCTAGTGGGTTAGCAGCACAACTTCCTATGAACTATGCCTGATGGTAGGTTATGTTCACTTAATGATTCCTTTGACTGCCAGATAAGCTGACTTGATTGGTAATTGAATTAGTATCATGGAATAGGTAAAGTGGTTCAAGAAATATATCTGGTCAGGTTTGACTATTGTTAACTAATGTTCATAAAGAATGATATCATAGACTATGTTAGACATTATGTCAACTTGTGTGCATCAAAGCTAAGAGATTGGTGAGTTCTGTTTCTAAAATGGTTTTCTTCATTTTTGTTACTACTTCAACCTCAATTTAGTAGTTATTAAAATAACATAGGAACCTGTGATAGCTTACTGGGTAAGGAGTTGCCCTGCTAATCCAAAGCAAACAGTTCAAATGCACCATCTATTCCAAGGAAGAAAGATGAACAATCTCCTCTCTTGTGGTTGACAATCTGAAAATCCACGGAAGGATCAGCTATGAGTGTATCCCAACTCCAGGACAAATAACAACAATATTAACATAATGTTGCTGTGTACTGTCGAGTCAGAACTAACATATAGTTGATCCTCCACTGGGTTTTAAGAGGCAGTTAATCACACAGGAGGAGATTTCCCATCCTTCTCCCACGGAGCAGCTGGTGGCCTTAAACCATTTGCCTTCAGGTTTGCACAGCTTCTTGCCACTAGGCCACAAAAGCTGCCTAGCAACAAATAACAACAACAATAAAAAAAAATTAAAAAACCATTTTTAAGTACTTAATCATTTGGGTTTCTGAGTAAATATTAGAAACTAGTCAACAAGATGTGTTCTCTAATTTCCATTTTCATTTTGTGATTAAGCAAAGTACTTTGCTTGGGAGGTTAAGATGCCCTGGGTAAAATGTATATACATACACAAACCAGAGAGACAACATTGTTCTCAAAGGAGAGAGATTCAAGACGTTCCCTTTGAGAACAGGAACTAGGTAAATATGCCCATTATCACCTCTCCTATTCAATATCGTATTAGTAGTCTTAGCGATAGCAGTAAGACAAGAGAAGGAAATAAGAGGTATCCAAAATGGCAAAGAGGAGGGAAAACTAGTTCTATATGCAGATGATATGATAATATACTTAGAAAACTCTAACGATACAGCAAGAAAACTACTGGACATAGTTGACCAATTCAGCAACATGACAGGATACAATATCAACATACAAAAATCAGTTGGATTTCTCTACAGTGACAAAGAGAAGACAGAACTGGAGCTAAGAAAATAATACCCTTCACAATAGCTAATCACAAGATTAAGTACTTGGGAGTAAATCTAACCAGAAGCACAAAGGAGCTTTTCAAAGAAAATTACAAAACATTAACTACGAGAAAAAAAAAGAGACCTGGAGAAGTGGAAGAATATCCCTTGCTCATGAAGAAGAAGACTCAATATTGTGAAAATGACAATACTACCAAAGGCAATTTATACGTTCAGTGCAATCCCAATACAAATACCAATCCCATTTACGCATTCAATGCAATCCTAATACATATACCAATTCCATTCTTTAATGAAATGGAAAAGGTAATCTCCAATTTCATTTGGAATGGAAAGAGGCCCAGAGTAAGCAAAAGACTCCTTAAAAAGAGAATCAAGGTAGGAGTCATCTCACTCCCTGATTTCAAATCCTACTACATTGCCATGGTGGTCAAGACTGCATGGTACTGGTACAATGACAGACACATACATCAATGGAATAGAATTTAGAACCCGGAAATCAGCACATTTACCTATGGTCAACTGATTTTTGACAAGTCAGTTAAGTGGGGAAACAACAGCCTTTTTAACAAATGGTGTTAGCAAATTTGAAAACTATTTGTTGAAAGCTCAAGCAAGATCCACATCTCCCACTATACATAAACAAACAACTCAAACAACTATGAGATATCATCTCACCTCAGTCTGAATTGCAAAATTTAACAAAACAGCAAGCAACAAATGCTGGCGAGGTTGTGGAGAAACTGGAACCCTTATTCACTGTTAGTGAGAGTGTAAAATGGTGCAACCACTGTGGAAAGTGGTGTGGTGCTTTCTCAAAAAGTTGCAAATAGAGATACCACTTGAACCAGCAATTCCAATACTGGGAATACATCCTAAAGAGACTATAACTGACGTCCAAACAAATATATGCACACCCAT